TCCATGGACAGGGGGGGGGGGGTGGACGAACCGAGACAGGCCATCCGCCAAGACGTTGGACACCCCCTGAACGTGAACTACCAGGAGAGCCAAACCCCGAGAACTCAGTAGATGAGTGAACTGAAGCGACCAGCACCAAAGAGCCAGGAACCACATCAAACCCCCCATGGTTCAGGCAATGAACCACCGGGGAGCAGTCCGAATGGAGCCAAATCATCGATTTGCGGGCGACCCAAACCCTCCGAAGCGCAAACCAAACTGCCGCGAACTCCCGCACTTGCTGTGGACCCGACTGAAGGACGGACCCCATCGCCCCTGGCCGGCCTGGTGAATACTGGTCACAAAGCCCCAGCTAAGAGACAACGCGTCCATGAACACATCGAGAAAGGACTTGGGTAGGCGCCATGGAACTGAACCCAAAAAACCCCAAAGAGGAAGCCGGCGATGCAGCAACCAACACAAAGTCCCCAGGGGTTGAACCCAGCGATCACGAGAGAGGTGGAAGGAACGTCCCCAAAGGAACCAGAACAGGCGACGCAGCCAAACCCGACCTGGCGGGTAGACCAACATCACAAAGTTCAGGCTCCCGTACAGACCCTCGAGCAACTGTTGGGTGACTCAGGAGCCCTCCAGAAAACAGCAAAGACAGGACCGCAGGTGAAGGAGAGACTCCGGAGGGAGAGACAAGGAAACGGTCCGAGAGTCCCAAGCAAGACCCAGCCAAGTCCGAACCTGGGAGGGGACCAGATGGGACTTCTTCCAGTTCACCAAGAACCCGAACCCAGGTGAGTTGAGAAAGAACCAAACTCCTGGCTAGCAGAGATGCAGACCGGCTAGGCTTCCACACCAGCCAGTCGTCGAGGTAGGCCAACACCTAAAAGATGCAGGCAGGCCTCAATGACCCGAGTAAGGCGTATGAAAACACGAGGTGCCAGGTTCAACCCAAACAAGAGACAACGAAAGCAGTAACTCTGACGCCCCACAACAAAACCAAGCCAGTCCCTGAACCCTGGATGAATTGGGACGTGCTAATATGCATCCCAGAGGTCCAGGGACAACATCCAAGCTCCCCACTCCGACAAAAGCCGGACCTGGGACAGTGTAGTCATTGTTTTGGGACGGTTACCTTTCTGGGTGCCTTACCCGATCGATGACAGACATAGAATGCTTCAACCACAGGGGGGTTTCACACCACTCTACAGGTGGTGTGTGAGCCAGGAGTAATATTCTTGGGTACTCGAGCTGAAAGCGCCTAGGGTTTCCTTCCTTAGGTGCCCTGTAAGTACAGTACTGCCCTTGGGGCTTGGGGCCACCTTCCACAAGTCACCTTGGGGGCCTACCTCCACTGTGTCTTTTACTGCTCGGTACTTGGCCGCCCTTGAAGTCAGCTGGGGTTTTTGTTGCCCTTGTTTGCCTCTGGGTAGGAGGTAGTTTTTGTCACTGGTAGGGGCACGGGGTACTACACAGCTAGTTATAACCTCTTATAGCGGCCGGCTCTGTTCCGCCTGGGTACGTTGTTCTCTTGCGGGATTTTTCTTTTATTTTTGTTTTTCTTCCTGGGGGGGGGGGGCTCTGCCTTTGGTTGGTTTCCCCCTTTCCTATAGTTGGGGGTCTTTCTATATACATCTTTTGTGTTCTTAGTGGCACCCCCTGCTAGGCCTCCCATGAGTGGACACGTCCAGGGGGTTCAGCTTTAAGAAGTTTGCTCGATAGTTTTGGGCACCGGTTCGTAGTACCCTGCCTGGGCTTCCCTTAGTGTGCTACCAAGGCTATGGGCCCTGGGAAACCCTGCAAGGGCTCCGTGGTCTGATGGATGTGACCCTTGAGTCCCCTCTCGCTTCGTGCGAGGTTGATGGTTGCTCTGTCCCCTTGTTTCAGTGTGACAATCACTGGTTGTGCCTCCCCCATGTTGCCTGTCACGTCGGTGATTATTTTGATCAAGAGTTGTGTGACATTTCTTTGTACGTGCTCCAGTTCATCCTTGTCCTTCCCTTTTGGTGGTTCATCCGTTCCCCTCCCCCCCTTTTTCCGGCTCCAAAGCGTCTGAGGGTTTCGGAGTCGAGCCAGGGTTTAGTTGGTGTTGTGATTTGGGAGTCCTCTTTCAGGGTGGCGGCGGAGGCATTTAAACCTAGTCCTCCAGCTGGAACTTCTGGGTCTGACCAGTGGGCCCCCTTTGTTCCTGCTTTTTCGGCTGCTCCTGCCTTTTCTTTTAGAGACGGGGGTTTTGGAGGATGGCTCGGCCCTGGGTCCTCAGGGTGAGGTTCCCGGGGCAGGGGAGGGGTTAACTTAGAGGCCTTGGTCCCTGTTGGACCCCGCCATGGTTTTTGTACCCTTGGAGCGGGGCTTGGTGTTACAAGGAGAAGGATTTCCTTTCCCTCCCTCCTAATACGAATTGGATTTGGAGTCTTCCCCCTCCCCGGGTTCGGTCCCGTCCTTCCTGAGGTTTTCGGCTACCCCTGTCCCGTCCTTCCGGAGGTTTTCGGCTTTGTGCGTCCCATCACATGTGGTGTGGGAAGCCCTTGTGGCTTACCTCCTGCGCGACCTGGATTGTGCTTTTATGATGGATCCTCGTTCCTTCATGTATGGCTCTTTGTGTCCGTATTGGGTTTGTTATGAAGTTCTGGAGTTGTCCTGGTTAGCAGACTGCCCACTCTTCTCGTTGGCACACGTTCTGTCGGTCCCACGTGCTTGAGTGGTGGGAGGCTCAGACGGTGTTGCGAATTTTCCTGGGGGGGCAAATTTGTGCATCTCAATGCGTGTTTGTTCACTCCTGCCCTTCTGCGGGTTGTTAGTGTGATGCAGCTTCATGTGTAGGTTCCTTCCCTTTCGGCTGTCTTGGTCGCAAGGGATTTGCGTACATTTGGCCTGCTGGCTTTGGCCCTGCATTTCTTCTCCCTCCTCGAGCTGTCATCGGATTGGCTTGAGTTGGATGTGGAGGAGCTTTGGGCCGCCTCTGGATCTGGTGCGTTGCCCTCGGCAGTGCGTGCATCGTCTGCATTATTGAAGCTGTTCGTGCCGCTCCTGTGGGATGTGGTTTCACGGTTTTGGGCTTCTCAACTCGCGTGTTGGCAGGCAATGCTTGCTTCTTCCTTGGAATCAGCTTAGGCCCTGGCTCTTCAGTTGTCTTCCTCTTTTTGTCCATTGCTGTTTGCAGTGTCTGCGGTTGGGCAGTATCTGCAGGCAGCTTCCGCTAGATGCCATCCTATATCTGACTTTTTCATCCTCTGGGGGGGCTCGTGGGGGGCCTTCCCGGAAGAGTCGTGCCAGGGCTCAGGGTTCTTCCTGTCGTGGTAGGCTAGTAGTGCCAGATTCGGGGTTAGGCGCAGCCTTCGGTTCTGTCTTTTTCGGGTCGGCGTGGGGATCGCCCTGTGTGCTACTTAGGTTCTTGCACAGCTAGTGGCAGCAGTGTGAAGTTTCCTGGCGGTCCATCCGGTTTTTGCTATCGCTACGTAGGTGTACTTGGGTTGTCTTGTCCTTCCTTTCATAGTTGTTCCAGGATTGTCATCTTATGCAGAATACTGTCGCCTCGTATCATGTGGCGCTAGCAGAGCCGCTCTAGCTTGCATTAGGTATTGATGCTACTTCTGCCCCGTCCGGAAGTGGAACGGAAGCCCCCATTACTTCCACAAGCTGTCTTGTGCGTTGTTTCACCTCCGGCCTGCTCATGTGCCTACTGATCCGTCCTGGTTTTTGGACTGGGTGCTCTCTTCTCCTCGGTTTGTTGTGGCCCCTTCTCCTCAGGATTGGCTTTCTAAGGCCCTTTTCCTGTTGGCATTGGCTTCTGGGGGATTGGGTCAAGGAACTTCATGATCTCCGGCATATAGGTTTCTGCTCCTTTGGTCCTGGTGGTAGGTTTGTTCGGTACATCCATTTCCTTCTTTTCTGGTGAAGTATAAGACTGCTGCTTTCTGGAGTGATCCTTGGGTTGTTGATGCTGGGTTGGTCAGGCTGGGGGTGCATCATGTGTTGTGTTCGGTAGAAGCTCTCCGCTGTTATCTATGTGTCTTGGCCTCTATAGCTGTGGATGCGCTTTGGGTTGCCCGGGTTCCCCTCCTTCCTTCCTGTTCCAGGGTTCGGGTCTCTTGAGTCGTCCGCAGGGTCCTTTGGTTTTGCCAGTTGTCTTGATTTTGATTTTAGGATGAGTGGCATCTGCCTCCTGGGTCCTTCCCTCTTTTTCCTTATCTTTGGTGAGGTAGCTCTAGGAAGCCGACTGGGCTCCCTGTCGGTTGGATCACCGGTGCAAGGGTTTTGGGCTTCCCCTTCACCCTCCCGGGGATGGGGGGGGGGGAGCACAGACAGGATGCAGCAATGTGATGACGTCATGCTCGTTTGCTAATTTTCGTTTGAGGAGTTCTGTCCACTCGTTTGGCTTTCGGTAGCAATACTTTCACCAGAATAGGGGTTTGTTTTGGGGCGCCTATCTTTCTGGGTGCCAGACCCAGTCGATGGCAGACAGAATGCTCCCAACCACACGGGGGTTTCTGTAGGCCATTGCTCCTCGTGCCTCTCTGAGGGGGCTAGGTTCTGGCTCATGGTCCCCATTTCCCTCCAAGGAGTGCCGGACCAACCGGGCTGTGGTGGGTATGTGGGCCTGTGGGCCGCTCCAAGCAACAGCCTGGTGGACCAAACTCTCACAAGTCAAGCCTGGCCTCGGGCCGGGCTTGGGGAGTAGAAGAACTTCCAGAACCCCATCAAGCAGGCAAGTACTCCATGCACTTTGACTGATGTCAGAAAGCTACATACATATCAACCTGGATAGTTCGGGAGATTGTCTGGGTCTCGCCCAGAAAATGGCGTTTCATTACATTCAATGCTGGGTTTTTTTGTTGAGCTCAGTAACACCCCATTCCCATCCTGTTCCCTTCTTTTCCATGAGGGCTTAGGGGGTTCTCCTCTGGCAGTTTATAAATCAAATTAGTCAAGTATTTCTCCTTATCACATACATATTTCCCATTTTCAGACTAATATTACTAATTTTGAATGAAGTAATTTCTCAACAGAGCCATTAGAAGATGGAGGCTGGGCAGATAATGACGATAGCTACCACGACATATGCATTGAAGGAGAGGACAATACAAAAGGCCACCATGTCATGTTCATTAAGAAAGAGTTTTATGCAAAAAGTCACCATGACATGTCCACTGAAAAAAAGGACATGACAAGAGACCCACTCTGCATTGATGATAACTCTATGGATGTGCAGTGTGACTCTGTTAACTACAATGAGGTAAGACGTTGGAAAATTATGGGTGTTTTCTGAGTTATGATCCCGCTGTTGCTTCCTTGAACTAGTAGTGTATATCAGTACACACACTCTCTCTCTCTCTCTAACGCATCCTCCGAATTGATAGTACGGTTTAATACTAAGTGTAATAAGTTCATTTCCTGACTGTTAGGAATAGTACATAATTACATTTACTTGTGCCGTTACATTTACCTCCCCATTTATTCTCCTCGTTTTCTGTTAAGACACTCAGAATTTTATAATGACTTTTTCAAATTAAATTCTCTATACATAAGTTTTAAATATCAGGAATTTCTTTTTCAGTTTTATTAAACAATAGAGATTTTATACAAAATTTGAAAATATCCTGAGTTACTTTACAATTTATTGGAATACTGTATTTTAGTTTTATTTTATTAGTTTTAAAACTGTAATATCAATATAGCTATAGGTTAAGTACTAATTATAATTAAGAAGCAATAAAATGCTTGTTCTTGTACACTAAGAAGGTTAGGTTAGGTCATGGTTTTCTATTCAGCTTTTCAGTTAAACTCAAATATTCACAATATATTTGACAGTGCGGTTTAATACTGAGTGAAAATAAGTACAATTCCTGACTGCTAGGAATAGTACGTAATTACACTTGTGCTGTTACATTTACCTCCCCATATTCGGAGGATGGCCTGCATGCACACACACATACAGAGGTTGTTCTGGAAACTGGAAAATATTGGAGGGGTGACGGGTAAGCTTCTAACATGGATAAAATAATTCTGACTGATAAAAAAATGAGGGCAGTAATCAGAGGCAATGTATCGGACGGAGAAATGTCACAAGTGGAGTACCACAAGGTTCAGTTCTTGCACCGGTGATGTTCATTGTCTACATAAATGATCTACCAGTCGGAATGCTGAATTATATGAACATGTTTGCTGATGATACTACAATAATAGGAAGAATAGGAAACTTAGATGATTGTCATGCCCTTCAAGAAGACCTGGACAAAATAAGTATATGGAGCACCACTTGGCAAATGGAATTTAATGTGAATAAATGCCATGTTATGGAATGTGGAATAGGTGAACATAGACCCCACACAACCTATAAATTATGTGAGAAATCCTTAAAGAATTCTGATAAAGAAAGAGATCTAGGGATGGTTCTAGATAGAAAACTATCTCCTGAGGACCACATAAAGAACGTTGTGTGAGAAGACTTTTGTTAGGCCAAAGCTCGAATATGCAGAGGTTGTGTGGTGCTCATATCTTAAGAAGCACATCAACAAACTGGAAAAGGGGCAAAGACATGGTACTAAGTGGCTCCCAGAACTGAAGGGCAAGAGCTATGAGGAGAGGTTAGAGGCATTAAATATGCCAAAACTAGAAGATAGAAGAAAAAGAGGTGATATGATTACTACATACAAAATAGTAACAGGAATTGATAAAATCGCTAAGGAAGATTTCCTGAGACCTGGAACTTCAAGAACAAGAAGTCATAGATTTAAAATAACTAAACAAAGATGCCGAAGAAATATAAGAAAATTCACTTTCGCAAACAGAGTGGTAGACGGTTGGAACAAGTTAAGTGAGAAGGTGGTGGAGGCCAAAACCGTCGGTAGCTTCAAAGGGTTATATGACAGAGTGCTGGATAGTTGGGACACCATGAGCATAGCTCTCATCCTGTAACTACACTTAGATAATTACACTTAGGTAATTACATACACACACTGTGTTTGTACAAAATGAGATCATCAGAGAACCAGACACAATAAGAATTCCAGAGAACAACATAGAGCGTATAGAGGTGTCTAGAGATTAGCGTTATACATCTGCAGCTTCAAGAACAAATATGACAAAGAAATACAAATACTATATTAGGTCACTAGTCTGGATTATATGGGAAGGACCCCAGGCTGGATGAGCTGCTCTTCCGGATCAAGGGACATTTCACAGCGGAAGTCCAAAAGTGAACATTTCCAAGAATGTTTACCACAACCAACATAATTTGAATTACCACATATAATTATAAAATATTCAAGTACTGTCATTAATTTTAACCAGAAACCTCAACTTACTATGTTGTAGTTCGTCTTCTTGATTTATGCTACATATCTTGAAATTAAGAATTCTTGACAATTTATGTAACCTGTTCTAACAACACTTAAATTAACATTTATAATTACTGTACAGTACATGGGGCAAGATCAGTTTTGCTGCCAGCTGCTGATGCCTCACTGATTGAAGGCTCTTGGCTTGCCTGTGAGGCCTCACTGGTTGAAGGCTCTTGGCTTGCCTGTGAGGCCTCACTGGTTGAAGGCTCTTGGCTTGCCTGTGAGGCCTCACTGGTTGAAGGCTCTTGGCTTGCCTGTGAGGCCTCACTGGTTGAAGGCTCTTGACTTGCCTGTGATGCCTCACTGGTTGAAGGCTCTTGACTTGCCTGTGAGGCCTCACTGGTTGAAGGCTCTTGACTTGCCTGTGAGGCCTCACTGGTTGAAGGCTCTTGGCTTGCCTGTGAGGCCTCACTGGTTAAAGGCTTTTGACTTGCCTGTGATGCCTCACTGGTTGAAGGCTCTTGACTTGCCTGTGAGGCCTCACTGGTTGAAGGCTCTTGACTTGCTTGTGAGGCCTCACTGGTTGAAGGCTCTTGACTTGCCTGTGATGCCTCACTGGTTGAAGGCTCTTGACTTGCCTGTGAGGCCTCACTGGTTGAAGGCTCTTGACTTGCCTGTGAGGCCTCACTGGTTGAAGGCTCTTGACTTGCCTGTGATGCCTCACTGGTTGAAGGCTCTTGACTTGCCTGTGATGCCTCACTGGTTGAAGGCTCTTGACTTGCCTGTGATGCCTCACTGGTTGAAGGCTCTTGACTTGCCTGTGATGCCTCACTGGTTGAAGGCTCTTGACTTGCCTGTGAGGCCTCACTGGATGAAGGCTCTTGACTTGCCTGTGATGCCTCACTGGATGAAGGCTCTTGACTTGCCTGTGAGGCCTCACTGGATGAAAGGCCTTTCCATGCCATTCTTGGAAAATAAGAATCAAGTTTAGCTTGCCTCCTGTGGTCATTGGCATCTTTTATGATCAGCTCTTTGGCTTGTTTTAGGTATTGATACATGTTTCCAACTAATGGATTAGCGCAGTTTGATGAAAAATTAATTAACCCATCAACACAGGACATGAGTACACTGTATTTCGTGGTCTGAGGTGTTGGTATCTCATTACCATCGTCATCCTCCGCCTCCACCTCACCAGTAACTGACTGGACAATCTCTTCTTTGCTCACCACACCATATCCTGGGTCATTAGCATCTCTTGCAAGCCACATCATATCTTTCTATATTTTTGCCAGCATTTCTGAACATTCCATGGATTTCATCTGTAAATCCAAAAATTCATTTCTTCATCCTCCTCATTGCTGACCATACATGTGAAGAGCTTTTTCCAAGAATTCTTCTAAGTCAAGTCCTTTACTTCACTCCATACCTTGGCCCAGTTATAGATGGCTTCCGTGATGGAATAGTTCTTCAAATTCTCAAGGGTTCTTTTAGCCCTGTTATCCACACCGAGTTTCACATCTTCGAGAGGCAAAACCACCAAAACTTCATTGAGCCTCTTTTTTTATTGTACAACCTCTTCATGGCACAGATGAGACTCTTGGTTTCTTAGATTTGCCAACAATTGCACACGTGATTCTGTCTGTGCCGTCGGCATTGGCACACATCATGGCCGAGAGCCTGTCCTTGTTAACCTTGCGCCCTGGCACACAACCCTCACTCCTCATAGCTAGAGTTTTTTTCAGGTAATACAGGTTTATTACAGGTTTCTGGTTTATACAGCCCAGTTTCATCAGCATTATAGATTTGATAAAAATATAAATTATTCGGCAAAATGTAAGTCTTTAATTTATGTTTAAATGGTTCTACACTGCTTGTATCTGCTCTCAGTTTATCTCCATCAATTTTCCTCTTCATAATATTGTGCCTCGCTTTGAACCTTGCAATTCACCCATCACTTACTTGGAAATCCTGTATTTCAAAGCTGGTTACAAACCTGCTTGCAGCATTTCTTATTTATGGACCGTGAATTGCCACGCCAGCTGTGGGGTGCTGAGCAAACCACTTGTACCCAGCCTAATCCAACTGTGCATGCTTTGAAGACTTCAAAGTACTTCTTCTGCACCCTCTGCTAGTGCTTGCACCTTCACTCTCACTGGTTGAAATGTATTTCAGGTATTGAGCTTTTTGTTTCCTTATACAGTATCCACTCAATTTATCGGCCTCTTTTATACTGATCTGCCGGTATTAATGACCGGTTTGGGAGATCGGTATCTGGAGCCTCTTATACCGGTCTGGTGGTCGATATTACCGACGGTCGATATTGGGTTTGTTTTGTCATCGGCAGCCCCTCACATGGCGACCAGGCGATCATCCGGAGTGGTATATTAAATCTTAACTTTCTTTTAAAATGATTCAGTTTTATGAAAAAAATTCTAAATTATTATTAATAAAATATTTTAAAACAATTGTTATTAAACAAAATTCTTTGTTTTCTTATTAAATACCTTTTATAGTATACGCAATAGGTATTTTTTTTCCCACGGACCTAGAACGTACTGCGCCTGGCCATGTGACCGCATTGTTTACTGTTAACTCGCGCGGCTGAGAGCAATGTCTCAGAATATTAGCCAGAGAAAATCAGATTCAGACAAAAATAGATAAAATCATGATTTCAACGGTTTGTAAAAGCACCCACTGGGAATTCAACAAGTCATGCAGCATTCACTGGCAACGAGTGCTCTACAAGCCATGCTGCACCCGCCGATGCTGAATTCCCATCAACAAGTTGTGCAGCCTCCGCCGGCAACGAATGCTCTGCAAGCTATGCTGCACCCGCCGATGTTGAATTCCTATCAACATGTCGTGCAGCCTCCGCTGGCAACGAATGCTCTGCAAGCTATGCTGCACCCACCGATGCTGAATTCCCATCGACAAGTTGTGCAGCTTCCACCGG